AGAAGGAAAAAAAGAAAGAAATGTACCTGATCAGTACGTTCGATACTCCGGGACGGATGTTTATATTATGACATTACAGTAAATCTATGCATCACATATCATATTTTAGGCAAGTAAATGGCATATCATGTTCAATTTAACATTTAGACACTTATTAACTCATGAGTAGAATATTATTTCACAAAATATGTTCTTTCATAGACATACAAAGTTTAGCTATAGTTATCACTTGCTGAGCGTAGCTCATTCCCGAGTTTTGGGAAAATTTTCAGGAGAACCTAGTAGAAGAGATGGCTGAAAACCCAAGGTTCACTTACAGGCGTCGTACTCCGGGTGACAGGTTCCTTTTTTTATTGTCTTGTAGTTGTAGTTTTTGTTTATGTGATTTTTTTTGGATGGCATACAGAGTAAGTGTCAAAACTTTTGATATAGCCATCTTGTACATTATGTTAGACATATGTGGTGTTATGGAATTGTGTTATTAGAGGCGCTTTTTGTCATGTGAAGATTTCTTTGAATAGTATTATTTTACTTGAAGAATGATGAATTACTTATTACATGTCCGATCTCGTTTCCGCCTCGTATCTACGAGCTAACCGGGCCGGGTCGTTACAAAAAGGAAGAAGGAGAGAGAGAGAGAGAGAGAGAGAGAGAGAGAGAGAGAGAGAGAGAGAGAGAGAATAAAGAAAAGCGTTTCCACAAATTTTTTTGTCCATCTCTCCTATTACAAAAAATATTCTGATTATTGTATGTGACTTCTATCCTACCTCTATTTTTTAAAAAATTTGATTACAAGATTTACTCTTATGCCTAAATCGATATTTACACATGATTTAGTGAACTTCCACAATATAACTTTTTGTGCATTGTAGTACTTATTATTTTGATCATTTTAATTGAATGATTTTATATTCTCACTAGTTAAAAATGTTATTTATTGAATTTTATATGATTTGAATATGAATAAGATATTTAATAATTTTGACATATTGATACAAGCATATTGATGAAACATGCATTCAGAATGAATAATTGTACTATGAATGAATAATTGCTAATTGTTATTAATTATATATGTTATTATATTATGTGTAAATAAGAAATGCTGGTTATTAAGATAGGTTGCCTGGAGATTGACTCTACTCTATATAGGAGGATGGGTCGACAAGCTTTTCTTAAAATAAGATTAATTTATGGTGATACCCTTGATGAAGATCAAGATTAATACTAAGAGTTATAAGGAGCTAAGATGTCAACAGGTAAGATCAGTGACAACTGTTCAAGAAGCCATATAATTATTAAAATTTAGATTAAGCGTTTAAAATGAATATGATATATGTATGATTATGAAAGCATCACACAATTTAGAGCTCTATACTTATACATGCTGACATGCATACATGCACTGTTACTGATATTGTATTGATTTCAAGATTATGATATAAATGTGATCAAGATAAAAATAAGAAACTACCGATGAATATGAATGTATAGATTATATACGATATAATTGCAAAAATTATATCATTTTTTCATTGTTATGAGTTTTTGACAATTGTATAGATTTTGAATTTTATGATTGATGCTATCTTTTTACCAATATGATATCCTTACATTTTGATAATGGTGCATGAATGGTTTTCCTAATTTATAGCTTTATTGTTCTAACATTTGTACTGGTATTGTTTCAATGACTTATGATTTTCGGATTCACTATTTTATATAGATTTATGATCATACTGAATGCAACATTAAGATTTGAATTATTACATACATGTTATTTCCTTTAAGTGCTTTGAGTGCAGTTGCAGGTTTTGGTTACCTGTTGGGCTTTATAACTCATTATGTGTATCTAATTGATTTTCAAGTCGGGGTAAGGATTCAATGTTATGAGATTGATTAAAGGATGGACTTTTAGAGTTAGTTTTATTTTTTCTTTTGTAGCTAGAAGTTTTGATATGTATTAGATGTAATTCAATGAACTTATGGTTATTGTAACTAATTTTTGGGGGAAAATGTAATTGTATACGGATGTTTTGATAAATAAAATTTAATTTTTTGGTTATTTTGCTTTTAATTGAAATTAGCAGCTATGATTTTAATTAAGAAGGTTTATATAAATGATACAATTTCTTCCAATTTAGATATTGGAGCATGACACTATATAGTTTTACGTGTTCTCCCTTCCAACCATAATTATAAGACTAATATCGGACATTCCTTATCTTTTTGAGATTTAAAATTATAAGTTTCATCATAATCATTTTTATTTGCATTATATTTGGACAAAGGATTATACTCTAGTGGCATCTTAATTCCTTGTTATGGATTTAGGTTTAAGATTGATGTCTTATGTTGAGATGTATTAAGTCCTCATATAAAGCTATTCTCAAGTGATGATGTTATTTTTTAGCAAAGGAATATAAGCCAAAATTTATAACAATTTACTCAACTTAAATTGAAATTTAATTGTCCTTTTAAAAGTAAAGTAACAATAACAGATATTTTTTTAGCATCCTAAATATTTAGGGTTATATACTTATATGCTCCTCATGGCTTTACCCTTATACCCCTTTTACCATCCTTTCTTAAAGCATAATCCTTATCAATTATCTTTGAAGTCTTAAAATATAATTCAAGAGTTTAATACAAAGTTTTCTTAAAGTTCAACATCAGATGATCTAATTTCCCCTAAGAACTTTCCTTTATAGAAAATATAGTTTTTTTATTAAAATAAATCCTATAAAGTATTCTTCATATTGTGGGACAACTATGACACTTACGAATGGAGGATAATTTAGTTTTTTGAAAACTTTGATGGACTTTAAAAATTAATGTACAATAAAGTTGAGTTAATAAAATAAAAACTTATTCACACTTAGCTTGTATGAAAATAACATGTAAAGTATTAAACACTATAAACACAATCTAATACAAAATAATAAACAAGCAACTATAGGTAAAGTAAAGCAAGTGAGATAAAGGCACATTAATTTTCATGTGGTTTCAACACCAATTGATCTTATGTTCATGCCTTGTCAACGAGGGGCGGAATCATATAAAGTTTAGGGGGGGCAATTCCCCGCCCCCCCTCAATAAATTTTTTTTTTTTATAATAGTAAAAACAAATTATAGGAGAGTAAAAATATTTTTTTGCTCCTCCTAAAAAATTACTTTTGCCCCTCCTACAAAATTCTTTTGACCTAATTTGCCCTAAAAAATTACTTTTGCCCCCCCCCCCCCCCCCAATTGCCCCCCCCCCCCTCTCAAAATTGAAACTGGTTCCACCCCTGAGCCAACACATGAGCTATGAATCTAATAACTTGATGTTTGTCTTAAAACCTCACTTCTAAATAATAAAAAAAGTTAATAATAATGTACAACCCCAATCTAACATGTAATATATAGAAGTTGCACTAAGCCAATGGCTTAGGTAAAGAAAAAATGCAAATCTAAATAATGTAGGATCAAAAACTTTTAGCACAAGAAAGAAAAACACCAAAAAGATGATATTACAAATAACTTATTTGATAACCTTACATTCATAACATTCTTGCAAAGGATTGACAATAACAAAGTTCAAAATTATTTATGCTAATTTATGACTTTATAAAATTTAAATCAAGTTGTTACAATTTTTTTTTTGAAAATGAAACCATATATAATTAAACCTAACTTTGTATAAACTAGTTAAAAAAAAAAAAACTATAGTAATATGTATAGGTTTAAAATGAGATGCATTAATCTATTCTTTCATAAGGTTGTCGATGAGAATATTGTCATAACCCAAATCGATAAGACCTACAGATAAAATAGGTCTGATTGTGTTAGCTTGCAACAAACCAACCCAAGATAGGAGTTCTAGGAAACTTTCATATTTTTCTTCTTCCAATTGCTTAAAACAAATAAAAAACCACAGAGCTGCTAAAAACATTAAGTATATAGAAAATAACTCATTCATACATTTTTTTTCATTACTCATCAAAATATATATACAATAATTATATGACTACAAATTGAGCTATATACAATAACAACAACAACAAAATCAAGCCTTTGTCCCACTATGTGGGATCGGGTACATGAATCGTTTTTCTCCATTGTGTCGTATTAAAAGTCAATTCTCGTTTAAATTTAATAAATAAATATAATTTCTAATATTTTCCAACCAAGTCTTTTTATGTTGATTTTTAATAATAATATGATAATTTTAATTTTAAATATTTTTTAATTTTATTTTTAAATATAATTTTTAATTTGTAAAATTATTACTATTTTATATATCATATTTAATAAAAATTTAATTATAACATAAGTTTATATATTTAATATAGATTATTTTAATTAAATGTTTAAAATATAAATAATTAATTTATTTAAGAAGATTATTTAATATTTAATCTTTAATTAAATAAAATTATTTATTTTATTATTTAAAAATTGTTGTAATTAAACTGGCCGGTTCGCTCGTTGAACCAACGGTTCTAACTGGTTCAATCCGATTTGACGCAGAAGCGTTTTTAACATTAGACCGGACTGGCCTTGTGGCTGGTCACAATTGAACTGGTCGAACTTCGACCCGAACCTTGCCAAATACTATAATGGTAGGCAGTAGAATGTGCTATTGAGCAAATATACTGTTTCAATATATAACCAAATTATCATATATTATTTGGAGCATTATTTGGAACCTTTGATTATACTATAATATTATTTTTGTAACTAGAAATATTTTCTAATTTATAAAAAATCCCATAATTTTCAATTTATCCATAAAAATTTTTCCAAAAAAGCCTAAATATTTAGAATCATTCCATTTACAATATATAGAAAATTACACTATAAAATTTTACAGTGTGAAAGTATTCTCAATTTTTGCTAAAAATATTATAAATAAAATAAAAAAATATTCAAAATTAATCCCAATTTCCTCAAGAGGAGATGCTTAACGCAATAAAATTTCATTTATATGCTAGAAGTCGTTATTCCAACTATTTACCGCGTGCCCAAATATTTCTGAAGGAACAAAGCGCAATCAACGACAGCAGCCCCGCGCGTAGCGTAACATTTCCGATTCGTCCACTTCCTTTTTTCATCTGAGAGCAGGTTTTGCCTTGTCCGAGTCGGGGAAGAAGCCGACCGGATCTTCGGCGCTGTATTAGGGTTCAGATCGTGCCATCATCGACCCGCAGTCCTATGAAGATCACAGCGATTCTTGTCATCAAGTGCTCCGGCGCCGGCGATTCCTCTTCTTCCGGCTCGGCCGAGCCAGTGGTGCTTGCGAACGCCTCTGATGTGAGTCACTTTGGTTATTTCCAGAGGTCCGCTGCCAAAGAATTCATTTTATTTGTTGCCCGCACTGTTGCCAAGAGAACGCCGCCGAGCCAGCGGCAGTCCGTCCAACACGAAGGTTTTATCTTAGATCCATATATTCTCTGTTATTTATCCACCGTCGTTATTTTCCAGTATTTGTAATTCTGCAGTATGAAGCATTTCGTGCCATGGATTGACCGGAATATTGCTCTTTCGGGCGCTGTGGCTATATAGCTCTTTGGCATTCCTATCTCATGCATGAATTTCTTTTTGTATTGATATATTTGGTTGTGTTAATTTATTTGTTGAGACTCTTTCATGTTCTAATCATTATTCTGAACAGAGAAAAACGGCAGATTCTTTGTTTATTATTCTTGTTGTTTGCTAACTAGGCACAATGCTATTACACGCTAGGTCGTTAAGGAAGAATGATTATTTGTCTTTACTGAGATGAAATGTTCTCGTACGAAGCAGTCATTTTTCTTAATGATAGAATCTATCAAATACAGGCAAATATTGCTGGGAAAGCTCAAGGTAAGAAACTTAAAAAAAATTAAGTAGTCTTATCTAGTATAATCAAATACAATGGTAAACATCTGGTGAGGCAAGATAACTCATGATTTCAATGTTCTGTTACAACTATTATAATATGATGTATGTAAATATGCATGAAAACTTAAGGATTTATAGAGCACAAGTTACTAAATAAGTCAGCAACTTATTTTCTTTAAATGTGAACAATAAATATGAGAATTAGAATCTAAATATTAATGTAATGACCAAATAATATGAAGGAATCAATAAACATTTTGAACACATAAAATCAACAAGTCATTGTAATTTAATCAACCTAAAGAAAATTCTTGTTGTTCTAAATGTGAACAAATCAAGAGCATTAGCACACAATTAGCAAGTTTTGTAGAATAGGACCACAAAAAGAAATTATTGACTTAAGAAATGCAAACCTCATGAAATTTCTGAAGTAAGAAATGCAAATCTCACACTAGTACAAAGAGATAACTGCTTCCTGAATCAGACAGTCACGCTTCCAGCACACTAAAAAAAACCAAACATCCATCTCACACACCCAAGATTGAAAATTAGGAGAAATTTCATTCAATAAAAAAATGTATCATTACATATGACAGATATCTTGAATTTAATTTTTTAAAGGGATTGTTGTTGCTATTAGAGTTGTTCTATTATATCTTAGAAATCTTAGGGTTGATTTTGGGTAGATGTGAATATGTATCGATTCAACTAGGGTTGGCCAAACCATGGAAACCCTAGTTGGTCGAGAGCTTGTTGGCGGCCATTGAAGTGATTAGGATTTGAAAATGGAAAAGTTAATGGTCTTTTAACCACTTGAAGATGATGGAGGAATACTTAAATGATTGATATGGGGTTTGGTAGAATTTTCGAAGGGTTGTAGGTAGGGATGTCAATTTTTGACACGACCCGAAACACGACCCGAACCCGACTCGGAAAAATCCGGGTTCGGGTCAACCCGAACCCGAAACGGGTTGGGTTCGGGTTGAACAAATCAACCCGTTTTAAAAATCGGGTCGGGTTCGGGTTGACCCAGCAACCCGAAATTGACCCGAAAGTGACCCGAAACTGACACGAAAACTCATATTTGACCCGAAATCCCGAGATTGACCTGTTTTTGACCTGATTTTGACCCGAAAATCGAATATTGACTTGATTTTGACCCGAAAATTAGAAATTTTAGGTCAACTTCGGGTCATTCGTGTCGGGTTGGGTTCGGGTCCAGAAACCTGACCCGTTTTTAAAAACGGGTCGGGTTCGGGTTGACCCGAACAGTGCCGGGTTAGTTCCGGATTCGACTCGAACCCGACCCGCTGACCCGAATTGACACCCCCAGTTGTAGGTTGGCCAAATGCTTGCAAGACCTAGACTAGGTCAAGTAAACCTAGTTTTGATTGATTGCATGAAACTTGATGTTTCTTGCATTTGTTTTTGTTTCTTGCATTTGTTTTTGTTTCTTGCATTTTGTTTTTGTTTGAATGTATTGGCAGATTTTGGCCATATAGAGTTAGTAGGGAGAAGCATGGGAATGAATTTATTCAAGTACTAAAAAAGAGAAAATTGTGAAATGAAATCTCTCACCGAAGGGGTCTCTCGGACAACAATCTTGAAATGTGAGAAGTTGTCTTCCAAAACACTATAAATTTTCATTCGAGTTCACATTGAAAGATTCTTATAGGAAATACAATATTTTTGAGGAGATGGTTAATACATTTCTCCAAGTTTACATTTAAAAATTCAAAATTTTCGAATGGAGGGGGTGGGTCATTGTTTTGAGATGTTTACTCATTGGTTGGAGGATAGGAGGCGGAGCCCTTCATTTGTGGAGAGTAGGGTGATGTGGTGATTTGATTGGATAAATTGTGTTGTTTGCCCCTCTTTGGATGTCCATTGAGTCATACATGTATTTGTAGTTTGTAGTAGGCTCTAAGTCAATTTACCCTCAAACAAATTTACCTTCAAGACTTGTCAACTTTACTGCCTCCAATGCACCTTAATGGTTTGTGATTCCTTTGGAAATTAAATTATATCCAATAGACCATTGCATGCCCTCATAATACATATTATAACTATACATTGTTTAAAATTTTGCAATATAAGGCTCGCCTCAGCATAATTCCAGCGAAAACATATTGAGGCTTATGCCTCAAACTTCGTTTATGAGGCTTGTTCCTCAGCTTAGCTGAGGCCCACCTTGAGGCATGCCTTGCCTTGCTGACTTGAGGCGTACGCCTCACCCATTTATATATATTTTTATTAAAATTTACCTAAATCCTAAACTCTCCGAACAAATCCCACATTCATGCACCCTAGATCCTTAGCAACTTTCTCTCAATTGCTTAGACCTCCATACCGCCGCCTTTGCTGCAACCACCACCTTCCTAGCTGCCATTGTGGACCACTTAAAAGCCGCACACCACCATCACTCTTTGCTCTAGAAATTTTGGAGTATTAATCTCATTTTTATGTTGATGACAAATATTTATGAAAGCGGAAGATTCCAGAAATAAATGAAGAATAAGCATCTTGGGAGGTATTGAATTCCACGAGATGAGGCTGTGCAGAGACTAATTTGTTAGGATGATGACTCAAATAAAGGCCCCTTAGTGATGACAGTGCTAATAATTTATGAGTTGTTGCAAGCAATTTCAACTTTCTTTCGAAACTAAATGCAGATGAGCAGAGAATTGATAAAGAAAGAGTTTGGAGTTAAACACTTAAACTTGATGTCATATGATGCTTCTATGCAATTCTTATATTTAATATTATTTTGTTCTTGTAATATTTGAATTTCAATTCTATTTCATGCAATTTATAACCTATCAATTTATGTATTGTGTAATTTTTATTTCATATGTATGCTAATTTGTTACTTCATAGTTCAATAGAAAGTTAATTTGTCATTCTTTAACATATTATTCGGGTATTATATAAAAATTCGATTTTAACTTTTATTTTCACTTTACACAATTTTTTTGATTTTGAGGCTTTCATCTCAAAATACCTCAAGAGCAAAAAACATCTTAATATCCAATTGCACAATTTTAAGCCTTATAACCACATAAACAGACAACAAAGCAACATAATGTATGGGCACTATAATTTATAACTTCTTAAGAGACATGCTATGATAATTGTTCATTTGACATAGATCTAGGCCTATGATGCATTGCATCAACATACCTTAGAATATCTATTTATAGGCTTCTTATCACTTAAAATAGTAGACATGGTTGGCACAAGCAGAGATTAATTCAAATTTAAATTTATTCTCAAAGGACAAAAATGATTTCGGCTTATAATTCCCAAAAGTCATTATCCATGACATCCCAAAAATCTATATAATCGATGATTAACTCGGGTGCCTACAGTTAACTTGGCACTTAATATTTGAGTTGCAACTATTACATGAATCACTTTGGCAAAAGTCATGAGATCAGGATAAGCTGCAACCTGCAAAGCTTCCATGGGATTAATCATTACTCAATAGAACTATGCAAACACAGGATTGGGAGAAAATGCTAGACATGCAAACAAATCCATAGGAGAAAAAAACCAAATTCCATTGTGCATGTAGAATAAATCTGGAAAATTACACCGCCTGAAGAAATTTTCAACTCATATCATGTCATCTCCCATCTTCTCCAGTTGCACAATCACTATAACAACTCAGTTTGAGGATTAAACTTAAGCGAATCCAAATTGAAACTTTACTAAAACATATGAATTAATCTAATACTAAGAAATAAATGCATCCCTCTTTCAAGGCTCATCACTGACACAATTATAGAAATAATCATCACCAACATAATTATAGAAATACCGAACTAAAATAAAATAAAACCAACTAATGAAATGAATAAATTATGATATGATCATTTTTTGATGTGATGTTTTTGATGAGAATAAATAGAAAGATTTCCATCAGCCAGTCTCCTCAACCAAAGGATTTCGTAAGGCCTGAGGAGATATTTTAGATATTCAGGCATTGTCAGTAAAAAACCACATATCTTTGAGGAGTCATGGGAGATGTTGGGGAATATAGAGGCTAGAGAAGCATTATCAGGCCAGATGTTATACAAAATGAAAACCAATTGATGTCTTGCTCCAAAAAAGTCTGAATAGCTCAATTATTTTTAAAGATATTTGTGAGTTCTAACTGCCATGCAATCAATTTTATGACGCTTTTAATATTTTTTTGTTTGTAGAGATGGAATATAAAAGAACACAAAGAATGTGTCGCTGCGATAACTCTTTAGCAAATATATTGTTTCTCACTGAACCGGTAAAAATGAAGGTTAGCCTGGAAAAATAGAAATCATTTCATTTCGACGAATGTATTCTCAGTTGGTAGATATTACTAAATCGTAAGAATCTATTTAAATGTTTCTCAAGGCATTCAGTAATGCCTGGTAGGAGTTGCAAGACATGAAAAGAGAACGCATTGACTGTAGGACACATTTTTAACAATTTCAGGAGAATGCTTAATGTTTTCTCAACAAATTTTATCTAGAATTTTCCTAAACAGATCATCAAATATAATCACTAGCTTATGATATTTTAAAAGTAGAGCACCAATGCAACTAATGCGGAGAGCTTTCATGGAAAATTGGTGGACTAGATTCTATTACATGAAAGACATGTATAAAAAAATAATAAGATAATATTTTCATAGAGAAGAAAGGCCTTACCATAATTAGTGAAGCAAATGACATTCTCAGTGAAGGTCGGTTGTGAAAAATCTGAGTTCAGGTCAGGTGTGAAACCACTAAATGTGACTCTGATTTGTATTGCAATGAATGGAATCCCCCCCCCCCCCAAAAAAAAAAAAAAAAAAAAAAAATCAATTGAGATCATGAGGCCCGAATTCCACAACAAAATCGACTAGGAGATAGAGGGTTTCCCCGGTGAAGGTTATATGCAGAATTCACAATTACAAAGGAAGAGACCAGCAATTGGTAATCCAGGCCTGAATTTTAAATCCTGTTATATGAAAACCAAATTGGGTCTTTAAAATTTAAATAGAGATCACCATTGGTCCTGATCATAGCTTTTTGCATGTGTTAATCTTTTAGCATTATTAAGTTCTTTTTTTTATGAACTCCCCTAAGTAAATTATGTTGGGATATATTTCTTCAGGGACGATGATGTTGTTTGAAATGCTTGAGTATTAATTCATTTGCATTTTTGGGTTGGCTAATCTATAATTTTTCCCATAGAAATTTGCTTTGCCCCATGCATTTAGGATCATATTTTCTGATTTAGCTCCAGTTTCCGATGATTTTCTATTTGTGGCACAATAGTTTTTTTTTTTGGTCAATTAGAAATCTTGTCATTTCTATTGGGACACCTTGGGTAATCAACCCTGATTCTATAACCAAATGATTTGATTCATTGTAAATAATTCGATCAGAAAACAGTAGAAATCTGTGTAACAAACACATTCCTAGCTAGTTTTTTATGAATCTGAAGGGTTGTGACTCGGTATGGAAATTTAAAGTAATGAATTGGTTTGGTTTATGGAGGTTATGTTATCCAGGACTGAACTCTTATAATATATTTCTTAGTATGGTTTCCTGCAATGATCTAGTGTATGCTGGGGTTTTTCTTTGGCATTGTGTTCTTTCATGAGCTGTGATTGGTAGTGATAGGAGCTTTTTCAAGATTGGGTTTGTTGAATTATTTAGATTTTTTTTTTTTTGCGTTCTTTGTTATTATAACTTTGATCTTTATCTCATTTCTAGAAATCTATCATTGCCTGCAGTTGTATAATATATCATAAATCTATTGCCTTCCTTATTTTGCAGAATATAAGGTTCACTCTTACAATAGAAATGGACTTTGTGCTGTAACATTTATGGACGATCATTATCCTGTGCGCAGTGCATTTTCCCTCCTCAGTACTGTAAGTACCGTCTAATTTCAATTAGCATTTATATTTTTAAGACTGAAAATCTGTATGAAGAAAATCTTTGTTGCTTCCACTCAAGTTTCCTTTAGTATTTGCTTTCATAAACATGATTCTCTTATTCTCTTCTATGCTTCTTGCACGCTTATAACTGCCTTCAAAATTGTCAGAAGATATCTTTTGTCAGTAGCATTTTCCACTTTTAACTAAGTTTCATTTATTTCTCATCAGCAATTCTTGCTTACTCCAAAATCTAATTGCAAAGAAAAACTTATGGGGACATAATTTTTACACCTGTTTTGAATCCTTGACATTGATGATATCGAAGTCTATTCTTTTAGTATTTTATACTTGATCCATGCGAACATTGAATCTATTGGATGCATTTGTATTCTCTATGTTCACATACTTCTTCCTTTGATTACAAGTTTATGTAGTTTTTTTTTCTTTAAACATTAATTAATGTTTTTGCTTTTGAAGGTCCTAGATGAATATCAGAAAGCATTTGGGGAATCTTGGAAAACAGTGCAGACTGATTCTACCGAGTCATGGGTATATCTGAACGAAGCCTTAACAAAATTTCAGGTGTGCATCATTCCTCCTCTTAGGTTTTGCTTTATCTTAACTTGCATGGAATTGGAAAATATTTTTTCTTCTGGTATCAACAGACCTTTTTCCTCCTTAGGAAGAGTGGCTTATTTCATCTGTGTTTGAAGTGTGACTATTTTAGCCTCTTTTATTGATATTTCTTTGACCATACCTAAGAAAATCTGCATTTCATGAACATGAGGTTTGCTTAGTTCTACTCTTTTTACTTTGCCCAGCTTTATGTTTATTTTTTATGTTTTCTGTTTGAGTAAAAAACGCCCCAAGTTCTTTTGCAGCTTCTGTTTCAGCAACACAAAACTGTACATGGACTTCTTAGTGTAGATGGTGAAGTTAGAGAAACTTACTGAAGACAATCTGCTATATTAGTACATGTGACAAAAGTGTCTAGTTTCAGTTTATATGAAAAACGGATCGAATTGGTCCCCTAATTTTTTTGAAGGATCAAAACAGTTTCCGACTACATTGAAGTATCAATTTGGTCATTTGACTCATTGAATAGGGACCAAATTCATCCCGTGGGATCATTTAGGTTCTTATTTAAAAGGTCAAAGGACTAAAATGAGATCTTTAAATAGTCGGGGATCATTTCGTTCCATCGTAAGAATCAGAAGACAATTTTGATCCTTATCTCCAATTTGTTTATTGTTTAGTTTTAAATTGGTTGAGCAATTGTCGATTAAAGTCTTGTTTCAATTTATTAAGATTTATTTCCACTCTGTTAAAACTTGGCATTGTCATTGCTGTGGGCCCTTTTGTTTTTTCTTTGTTAGCTTCATATCAGTTGACCGCTTGATATTGTTATTTTTTCTTGTGGTCAGGATCCTGCAGAGGCTGATAAGTTGCTAAAAATTCAAAGAGACTTGGACGAGACCAAAATTATTCTGGTAGGTATTAGTTTGTGGCATCTATTTTGTAGTGATCATTTTTGTTTTGTAGAAATGAAACTATTCTATTTGTCCATATAGTAATCTTTTTATTTGCAATAATGTTGACAATTTGACTTGCATAAAAAGAAGGGAAAAGTAAAACTGCTAGAACTGCTGGGTAATTCATTTATGGAGGATACCTGCAGTAAGAGACTATTTGCATAAGGCATCGTACAAAAAAAGTCGCCCTTCATTTTGATGATTCATGTTTGGAGCTTAAGTTTAATTTAAGGAAATGTTTATGCAGTTTTATTAATTTTCATTCTTCATTTATTCCTATTGAGTTACCTGCGGTGTTAAATTTTTTCTCTGCAAATTATTTTGAACAACTTCTATCCACATCATCTTTGGTGTACCCTTTTCATTTCTAATTCTCCAACACTAATTTTTTAAAATAAGATATCATGTATTCTTTTTATCCTTTTAGACGAAATTATTACATTTGTGTATTTAGGATTCATTGTTGATGCAAGAAAAAATTAGAAAAACTCTAATTTTTGCAAGCAAAAGAAAAGGCTCCCTAAGAACATAAGAAAATACACAAAATACTCAAAAATAGATAAAATACTGCATTTAAACAAAATACAACTTTATAGGATAAAGACGACCTTTACAAACTTATGATATAAAAACAAACACCTAAACATGCTTTTGTTTAATCGAGAAGAAAGATACAATTGACGTCGAACTTGCTGAGAGAAGAAAGAGGTAAGAAGCTGAGACGAAGGAGAGGACATGCTCACAAGCTTTCCTAGAGGAAGATGAAGAGACGAGGCATAGCTCGCAAGCTATCATAAAAACCCTCAGGTTTTGCTCCAAAAATCAACACACAATCTCTCTTTTTTCTATTACAAAACACTTTATATTTATAGGGGAAAAGGGGCAGCCAAAAAGCTCAAAATATCCCCAAATAAACCATTAAAACAAGGGAAGATAGAAGGCCAAGGAGCTGTCCAGGAGCAACACCCAAAGAGTCACAAAGGGGGCCAACATTCAGTCCAGAAACAGAACCCGAACAATCACACATAAAACCGGAAAAGGCATCCAAAAGGGAACCGGAATAGCAGCCAAAGGGAACCGGAACAGCACTTAAAGGGAACTGGAATGGGCGGCTAGGGGACCGGAACAACTTTTCAAAGGGGGAGGAATGGACTTCACAGGGAACCGCAAAAGGCAGCTAAGGGGGGAAAGGAACCATCCACGGGAAGGGAAGCCAAGTGGGCAAACCAAAGGGTCAATAGAAAGGGGGGGAATGAACTCAAATAATTTCAAATTAATGAGCTGAATAAGTAGTAGCTCAACATTAATGAGCTGACATTTAGTAGAGGATATTGAAGCTCACTAAAATTACAACCCAAAATGATTTGACCCCCCTTTGCCTACATCAATTGTTCCTTGAATTCATTGCACTTTGAATTCATTAGTAAATGTATTCTTTAAAACCTAAAAATAAAATTCAAACTTTAAACTCTAAAATTGACAATAAAAGCTTAATGGGTTTAGGAGGATATCAAACCATAGTAATTGCTTGTTAAACTAGGGTTGATCAAGCAAAATGCATGGAGTTTTAACCTTGAGGCTTGGCCTTTTACTTAATCAAGACTAACCAAATTTAGGTACTCTTTGGAGTTGGATCAAAAGTAATGCATGCAATATCATTGATAGTGAGAATGGAGAGTTTATTTCAATCGGGAGACATGGTCAACCAGGTTTAACGTTTCGATGTTCCCCAAATAAGCCTCAAGAGTTGACATTTTGAACTTTGGTGGAAGTTGAGCTTTTGTGATTTAAATTGAAAAGGCTTTGGGAGGAATACATCTAATTTTTTACACCCTCAGTAGAATAGTTCACATATTGAATCAACAACGATCTCAAAATAGATTTTTGAACAGACTATGAAGCTAATCGAACTCGACTTAAAACACAATTCTGTCCCATGCACTATGATTTTCCACCCAAATAATAATATCAAATTGAACGATGATATCCCCCAAATATTCGTCCTCTTACTAGCCGTCAAGTACATGCCGTGAAGTTCCCACATCACATTAGATCCTTCTCGGCATACCTTACTAGCATGTTGTGTATCATTTAGTCACTCGTATGGAGGCCGCTGCCTTGCCTAGAATTCATGATTATTTTCCAATAACTCGATGCTAATTTATGCGCAGATTGAGCCATCCATGTCTAATCGGCTACCATCTATCAAATACAAAGCTTCCATGCAAACCACTTCTATCGCAAGCAGAGCTGGTCCACCTCAACACCCATGTGGACCCGAAGCCTGTATTTATCTACTTTTATGCACCAATACATCAAGTTATTATCGACCACCTCTTTCTGCATTCTATTCTCTGACATCACCCATTACAGGAGATTGGTTGTCCTTTAGTAACAACTGGCGAACGTGTCCCTTTATTTGAGCCAAGAAATTTCTGAATGATGAGGAGAGTGACTAGACGTCTGCATTTATCTTGGAGGGATCCAACAAAGACGTGGGAATTAGTCATCTCTTATCCAACAAGACATAACAGTATTGTTTTGGCCAAATCTTTATGGACTTTGATAGGCCATATGTTTTTAGAATTTGAGGGTGACGGGAGATTGGATGCCTATAATTAGTAAGTGGTCAAAAATGGAAGCAGAGAACTTTCAATGCAATGAAGTCCAGCTTATACATATTGAACAAGGCCACTATCCCTCGTAGCACCATGAATTTATTGAGAGTGAATTTTGCAAATATGATGTGACACTCCCTTAGGAACATAGTGCTCTCTAGCTTGATTGGTAGGGTTTATCCGTTCTTGAATTTAGCTAGGTAGAAATATAGTTCCAGTCAATTAACGTAGTGTTCCTGTGACCAATGTCTAAAAGTTGGACAATCCATCATATTAGAAGAGTATACTTTTCTAAGAAGCATCCAACTACCCTTGAGATATTTGTCAGGGACCTAACACATATTTTTACAAGTTGCAAGTGAAAGGGAGAAATTTGTTTGGATCCATCATATCCACAGGTTAGCATAGTAAAGCACCATCACTCATGGTAAACATCTTTCTTCGTTAGCCTTTCCTTTTATGACCACCAAGAGAGAGAAACAAAGGAAAACACTTTCAAGAAGCGCAAATGTCTCTGCCTATTATGTTCAACATGAAACAGTGTGACATTAAGTGGATGATTTTAAAATTTCCTGTCAGATTTCCCCATTAATGAGTTAAGGTAAACTTGTTGGGGGCAGGACGCTTAGTCAAGTGGAAAAACTTACTTTTTGCTACTGTTTTTTTTAGTGTATCTTTGCATTTCTAGAAAATTGGAGATCAAACTATGATGACAGTGAAAAGTGGTCTTCTTTTTTTATTAAGTCAAAACGATCATTCGAACGATAATACTTTAAAACCTTATTTACTTGGTGTCTCTACACCACTACCTTTTGTCCATAACATAGACTCTTGGTCTTTTATTTTGGTTAGATGTTGCGTCATGCCTTAGTAGCTCACCCTAAGAGGAGGCGTGCCAAGGACATTAGTTCATGTGCCTAGGTCAACCCTAGGTAAATGGCCAATGTTGTGGAAAACATTTGAGTTGATAATTTACCTTGTCATTTCAGGTCAGTTTTTCATATAACTAGTCAACATTATCTCTATCATGACATCATTTGAGAAGGCCTTAGGTCAAAGAAATCTCTGTGTTGCTACAAGGAGGCTGAGCTCCACTCCATTGGTCACAATTTGTCAGGCTCAAGTTGTAACTTCCTACGCCTATGTCCAACTCTTTAATTCTCCCTCAAATGTTTGTCTCTGTCACAATCACTTGGCTGCGCGGGAATGCCACAGGATTATTGGTGGGACATACCAGTCCTCAATGGCCCAAGTTCAAATGCCAGCTAATCTTTCAACTCATTGTATTATTAACTTGTGACTCTTAAAGTAATAGATACATTCATATTGAAGGGCATCTAGTTTGCCCTCTTCCTTCTAGTGGCTAATCACTTTGGCTTTGAGGTGTGAATCTCCTATTGTTGCTCCTCGACGATTAGGCCCAACTCTTCAGTTCAAGTAATGTTGGCCTCCAGACGCCCTTAGAGATTTGGTTGGAGCCATTCCTCAGAGAACTTGCGACTAGCTTCTTGCTCGTTGATTGAAGAAATTATAGCTTTTGAATGACTAGGGAGACCTAAGGGCAATGTGTTTTTTTACCACCTCTTTCATAACTGGCTGATCCCTCGACAGATTGCTCGTCTTTAGCATCATCACTATTACCAGTGGCTCTTCCGACGCGATGATTGCCGCATTGATTGTGACTCAATTTGGTCTAACATTTTCCTCTAACTATCAGGTGGCTTTTTTTTTTCCTTTTAAGCAACCTCCTTTCACACTACTTTAGCTACAACTTGCTCCCTTTCATTCCATTTTCATCACGGCCTTCTCCTGGCCTCGTTGCACAACCTCTTCTATCACAGCTTGCTTTGCGAGTGCGCACCACCTCAATTGTTGCTTGCACTTTTGTTGTTGGTCATGCGGTCTCCGTCACGGCTTTCTTTGAGACCTCCTTCTGGATGGCCTCCTCTATTGCCTTCCTTTTGGCTTTGGGAATTGGTGCAACCTCTCTTGTTTCCTCCAATGTTGCAACCTTTTATGCAATTCTACTCAAATTTCGAGAAGCCACAACCACTCATTGAAGATTTTTCAAAAAAATTTAAACGTTTATGCTAACCTCTTTATATAGTCAACCCAAAATTGGCAGTGCCTCGATAAAAGACCCAATTGCAAATCGACATATATCCAAAATAATAGGTTTCGAAATAGCGGATGCCAAAATTCAATTTTTTGATCACCTGAGTGTCCAATCAGTGCTTGTACTTCAACATGGGGGAAAATGTAACATCTGATTTCTCACACCATCATCAGAATGATAGATGTTGTGGATTGACAATTATCTTAGCTTCAGACCCGTCTACA